CAGTCAGTTCTCCTCAGAAATACATCCATATTAACCCCCACCCTAATTCCATAATTATGGTTTTCTTTCAGTATTTCGAGCATCGCAAAAATTTGTTCTGTCTGGCAGGGGCGCGGGAAGATGTTTTAGGTTGGGGGTGCTATATGCTGTATATATATATATATATCTTTACATTACAATGCAACAAATAACTAACAATAATGACAAAATAACAACAAAAGTTGAATTGAAGTTAGCAAACAGCAAAACATTAATCTTAGTACAGTAGCCACAAATGAACCAAGAATGAATATTCGGTCATCATTTACTCACCCTCAAGTTGTTCCAAACCTGTATGAGTTTCTTTCTTCTGTTAAACACAAAAGAAGGTATTTTGAAGAATGTTGGTAACCACACAGTTGCCGGTAGCCATTGACTTCCATAGTATTTTTTTTTCTCCCATACTGTGGAAGTCAATGGCTACCAGCAACTGTTTGATTGCCAACAGGTGAAAGAAAGGCATATAGGTTTGGAACAACTTGAGAGTAAATTATAACAAAATTTAAATTTTTTGGGGTAAACTATCCCTTTAAGAATAACCAAAATAACTGTATATCCTAGTGAGACATTGCTACTAGAGTAATATCTGTATTTAGTGTGTGCATGAGCGAGAAGATAAAGCGAGGCAGGCTCATACTCAGTCGCCAGAAACTTGCTTTGATTATAATAATGATGACCAGATGATGTCCTTTTCAACATAATGGCTCTGTAGTGTGTTGCATTTGAAGACCACCACGCACATGCAGGCACGCACGCACACACACACACACACAGACGGTGTTACAAAGCATGTTGAGTTGGATTAACGGGAGCCAATCCAGTCACATGACATGATGTGAAGCGCTGTCTATGTTTATTGCCCTTTTAGTATACAATGAGACATTCAGAGATGCCAGAAAAGCACGTTATTGTCCTTTTACCATGATTTTAAAGGGTAGTCTGTCATATCCACATACAATAGCCAAACGCTTTTGTGTTAAACAAATGCTTTGAGTTCAGTAAAAGGTGCTAAAAGCATCAGTCACATTTGTCCAAAAATGTGCTTTGCACTCTGTTTTATTCAGACTTCAGCATTGATGTGTATTACATTCCTATTAGTGCTTCAACTAACGTCACAGTCTTGTAAAACATCGTGCATTTGTGGGAGGGTGACAAAAATATGATGCATTTGCAAATTAGGCTTTACAAATATTAATTGCGACAACAACCCTTGACACCAATCTGCTTAGTTTGCTATAATTTTCATTTTATATTCACTGCAAAATCTAATTTTATACAGACTGTTTTGCAAATTAGCCTTGCTTTCATGTTCAATATGTACCGTACAAGATTTTAAAAATGAGCTGATTTTCAGTGCATTTATCCAACTCAGATCTTTTTGTTTCTGTATTTCTTTTTCTTAAAGATGACAATCTTTAAGCATCCTCAAGTATGTGTTGATTACTAAGGCACATTTTGTGTAGACAGTGATTGCTTGTCAAAAAAATCCTCTAATATGCAGCACATAGCATGAATATCTAAATGCCAGTATCTTTATATATAGAGCTGGGTAGATTTCTTACAAATCGTAATCCGTTACTGTTTCCAGATTGTAGTTAGTAACGTAATCTACCATGAACATGCATGCATTTCTAAAAACTTTGCACAGTTAAACTAGATTTATGAAGGAGTTCTCCTGTTCATCTTCTCAGACATCCTCATTTGTCATTGACCAGCTACTCCCAATTTTCACATACCTCTTCTTCCAGCCACATTACTAACTTGTGCCACTATTTGAGACATTGCTGTGACCTGAGAGAGAGAGAGAGAGAGAGAGAGAGAGAGAGGACAGAAACTCTGGAGCTGGAGGAAAATTATGGAGAACAGTGATGGAGTTTTCCTCTCCACTGTGAACTCATTCTCACTTATTCTCTTTCCCTCTTTTTCACTCCCTTGATCTTCGTCTCTATCTTTCATCATGAGCTCCTCCAGCATGTCTTAACTCGCTCTCGGTTGTACGTGTGAGTCAGTCCACCTGTGACCTGCTCCTCTTTCACAATCCTTTCTTTTTTATCCCACTGTGTTCTGTGCTCCTGCTGGTTCTCACTTTTTGTGTATCAGTTCAAGGTCCATTTCCCCTGTCACTATTTTCTCTTCTCTTTCACTCGCTTCACTTTCCTTTTCAACCCGTTCTTTCATTCTCCTCGCACATCACAGACAGACAAGAAATGCCCATTGCGTCATGAAAAGGCTTTTGCTTTGGCATCAGCAGGTGTCCTTATGGAGATCACAGCAGTGAATGCACTATTTACCGGTTGAGAGGGCTTTGAAATGCTTTGTAGATAATGTAATTTCCCTTTCTCCGCCATTTGATACATCGAGGTTAAGTATGTATCATTAAAGCACAGAACCTTTATGCAGTATGTGCTAAACTGATTATATTTATATAAGAACCATCTCACTGTAAACAGGGAGCAGCTATGATGAAAAATATATGAATTAAGCTTTTGGAGTCCTTTCACCTGAAAATTATTAAACAAAGGTATAGACAAGTCACATTTATTTATATAGCGTGTACAAAATACAGATTGCAAGCAGCTTCACAGTAACAAACATGGAAAAATGATGCAAAATTAATTATAAAACATTCAATTTAGCTATAAAGCAGCTCTACAGAAGACAATAGTGTCATTATTTGGCTCAAGTAGTTCAATGTTGATTCAATTCAGTTTAATAACAGTGTCAATGTCCCAAAGTTCATTAATTAGGAAATAATTTCAAAGGCAGCTCTACAGAAGACAATAGTGGCATTATCCAGCTCAGATTCTGTGTTGAATCAGTTTAGTTCAGTAACAAGTAAGTCTCAATGTTATGTTAATTCATTTTTTGATTTAACATTCAAAGCAGAAAAGTATTGAAAGCAGAGAATCAGGGCCTTTTTTATTTGAGGAAATTACCTGGGTGGTAATTTTCATAAAAGAAAATACATTTGGGCTATAAATACAAGTACGATTTGGAACCATTTTGGTTTAAAAATGGCTTTAAAAAGTCCCCAGGAAAAGCACACCATAGTGATTGTTATTAGCAATAACACAACTAGGCACTTGGACTTATCTAGTTTTAGCAAAATGTTCCATCTTTCCAAATAGAGATCTTTATCTCTCTCTGCTTGAAGCTGTAAGATTGAATGGCAGGGGAGAGAAGCAGCTTTATTTATTATCTGGGCTCCTGTGTTAAAAAAATTCTGCTCACAGTATTGTTTTCCTCAGGATTAGCTGTTTTATACATTGCTGGAGCAAACACAAGGCCATTTGTATTCCAGCCATTCGTGTTATTAGCTTACCAGATTTGTGCTTAACATTGCATTTGCCTTTTGGATGATCAGGGGCACTAGCTGCCCAGCTTGAGCTGTGAGGGGGTTCAGGGGTTAGTGTTTTCTGTCCTCTCCTTTTCATTACTTTCTCATTTAGCTGGCATCATGGTCGAGTCCTGCAGCAGGATGCTTGCTCTTTGTGAGCAAACAGATTGAAGTCAAAGGTGTCTCTGCGTCTTCATGTCTTCTAATTGAAGAGGGGGATGGCTGAGAGAGCTTTCGGACACACTCATGCATCCACAATGGCACGGATGACAAATATATCTCACTTCTAATTTCTGAATCCATTTTATATCCAGTGCAAATAGATATGCAGACACACACACTCAGACAGGGATGAACAGGTGTCTCAAAATGACTAATTCTCAATTAGTAATTCCACCTTTTCCATTAAAAAAATGCTTAAACATTATTTAAATAAGATAAATGACTATGGTAAATTACTAATTATTTACTACAAATTGCAAATAATTCTGACAAGTGATTCTTTTAAGCACAGACCTCACAAAATGTCAAAGTTTCTCAGGGGAATGGCATATTGGAATGCAGAATGCAAAAATTTTGTGAATGAACTCTAAACCAATTGAGTAAAAACAAACAAACTTTTAATTATTTGAAAAAAAAAAAAAAAAAAAAAAAACCTTTGTGCTGTGTTGAAAATTCTTTACCTAAAGGTAAAAAAAATAGTCAAAAATTTAAATTGCTTATAAATCTGTCATTATCACCAAATCATGGATTCAATATTTTTATGCACCTTGGTTTTTGAATGAAAAAAAGCATTATTTGTGGATAATTTAAGCAATATTCACTCAAAATCTGAGGTTCATAAGCTCAGTTCAATGGAGCCAACGATTAATCAGTCCCAAAAAGAACAACAAAACCTGTGCTAACTTAAAGAAAATAAGTTGATAAAAATATTAATTCCAATATTTGGTGATAATATTGCATAACGAGAAATTTATAAGCAATTTTTTTGTAGGCTGGGTATTTTATGATTGGGAATGCCACAAGTGTAACAAGCTTTTTAGAAAATCCCTAAAAAGTTTGGGAAGTTGTTATACTCTGTCCAATGCGATAACATTAACTATAATTTTTGGGGAAAAATCTCCAGGTCCAAATGAAACACATGAGGGTTAAGATATTTTCACTTTTTTTGCAGTAATCAGACGCCCCTTCAACCTTTTGATTGCCATCAGTGCCTTTAACTAACATGTTTTATTTTTATTTTTTTTATAGATCTTAACGACACCTGGAACAAAGGAATACCAGCGAAATATATTACACCTAAACTCCTCTAGCCATCTCTCTTTTTTTGATGGTACGATGGAACAGCTTCAACTCCAGATGAACTAATCTTGATTTAACAATATGCTGTGGATCACGTTCTCCACTGGGAGGCTGTTCTTGCGGCAAGAGCACATGGAGAGTAACGTAGTAATACTTTGATTCACAGACTCAATTTCTTTTTAATGAGCTGGAATGCCTTCTCTCTGCCAAGAATGAGAAGTTGAATGATGCTCAGCGAGCCATGCCCTTCAACACCTGCACACTCTCATAGAAGAGCACAGGTTTGCTTAGCAATCGAAGAGGAATGCTCATACTTATTTCGCCTTCGGATTCCAATTTTTCTGCTTATTATCTCCAAGTTCTGAAGAAACGGGAGTCCCTTAGGAGATGGAGATGAGACCCATGTGAGGCTGTCGGGTTGGTCACAAGGACCTGTCTATTGGTTTGGTGCAAAAAATGTCAAGGGCACTTGAAGGTTGAAGAAAAACAAGACTTGTGACCTTTTGAGAATGTCTGACTTTAGAGCAACATTAAGACATTGAGTGACTTTTGGAAATCACATACAGAAAAACCCAATTTGGGTACAAAACATCAAAAAATACAAGTCAGTACAACAAAAAATGTCAGAGCTTGCTGGATACAATGGCAGTGAGAACTCTGTGTTCTCAACCGGTCTGCCTTTCAACTCTACTGGCGACTATGAGTACTACGAACCCGAACCCGATGCCAGCAAGATCATCATCCCCTCCATCTATGCACTGGTGTGCTGTGTCGGCGTCACGGGAAATGCCATGGTCATCTACGTCATCCTCAAGTACGCCAAGATGAAGACGGCCACCAACATCTACATTCTCAATCTCGCCATTGCGGATGAACTCTTCATGTTGAGCGTCCCCTTCCTGGCGACCTCGGCCGCGGTGCATCACTGGCCGTTTGGCTCGCTCATGTGTCGTTTGGTTCTCAGCGTGGACGGCATCAACATGTTCACGAGCATCTTCTGCCTGACCGTGCTGAGCGTGGACCGCTACATTGCAGTGGTGCACCCAATCAAAGCGGCTCGCTACCGTCGCCCAACCGTCGCCAAAGTGGTCAACGTTTGCGTGTGGGGACTTTCGCTGCTTGTAATTCTGCCCATCATCATCTTAGCAGACACGGTTCCGGCGCAGGATGGAGGAGTGGACTGCAACTTCCTATGGCCTGAGTCCTCGTGGTCAGAAGCGTTTGTGGTCTACACGTTCCTACTTGGTTTCTTGCTCCCCGTGGCTGCTATCTGTCTGTGCTACTGCTTGATTGTAGTGCGCATGCGAGCGGTGGGTCTAAAAGCGGGCTGGCTGCAGCGGCGGCGCTCTGAAAAGAAGATCACACGCATGGTGCTGCTAGTGGTGGCCGTTTTTGTGCTCTGCTGGATGCCGTTTTATATTGTGCAGCTGATTAGTGTGTTCCGCAAGCCACCGAACCCCATGGTGACTCAGCTATTTGTCATTCTAAGCTACGCTAACAGCGGCGCCAACCCCATTCTCTACGGATTCGTGTCGGACAACTTCCGCCGCTCGTTTCAGCGTATCATTTGTTTCCGCTGGCTGGAGAACGGACTGGATGCTGAGCAGGTGGACTACTGTGCTGTTGCCCTGCGGCGTCAGAACACATGCGGCCCACCGGACTTTCCAAAGGAGTGCTTGGCCTCCGACATGGTGTTTCGTAATGGAACCTGTACCTCCCGTACAACCACTCTGTGAGAGGGTATTCAGTGAGAGTGTTAAGAGTTTAAAGGGATAGTTGACTCAAAAATGAAAATCGTTATTTACTCACTCTCATTTCTTTCCAAACCTGTACTAACAGTTTTGGTTATCAGTGATATTTATTTTTGGGTGAACTACCCCTTAATCATATCATTCATTGAGACATGAAGTGCAGTACCAATTGACCTATCGGTTAGCCCCTCCCCTCGAACACAGATGAGCCAATGGCAGTCAAGTATCAGTTGCATGGGGACCGGAACTCGGACATCTTTAGATTTCAGCGCCATAGAGAAACATTGGAAGATTCAAAGCTTTCATTGGTTTGATGGTGTTTATGCTACAAAAATGGAAAAACGATGTGCCTGGGGTACTTGTAACACTGATTCCAGGTATCCCGAGCAGATAGGCAATAGGATTTATTTTATTACATTTCCTAAACCCAAACAAAACAGAGCAAAAATGTCCCTAAGCATTCACCCCCAATCCCAATGAAGACAAAAACGTTCATTTTCTTGTTGTCATACTCTCATTAAGTTACAATTTTCATCTGCTCAAGCAGAACGTTAATGTCATCTTGTGCTTCAGCAAGGTATCTCTGGCTAAAACTAACGTTAAAGTTAGTGAGTCAATGCTAACGTACAAGCATAAATAGCGAACTGTTCTCACGTCATGTACAGTGTAAGTCAAAAACACATAAACGAAGGTCTACATTTCAGCACCTCTCCATATTAAACTGGTTAAATGTAAATTAATGTAATCTTACCCTGCGGTACACAAACAGTGTTGATCCGGGATGTTGTCATTGCGGTCGTAACGACCGTAACATGAGACTTCTCCTGTTTGCATTGTGATCTGTATTTTTACATATTTATTTTGAAATATTTTATATATCCCTCCATGGCATATTTAAGTCCAACTTAAATGATGGTCCTTCTGTGTCCAAAATGTATCAAAAACTTCTTGGGACAAGGTTTTCACACTGGCAGCCGTCATTTTAAGCAACTCCGTTTGTTTGTCCGAGTGAGCAACAGCAACTAAGGGGGGGCGGGGCTTACCGATAGGTCAATTGGCAAATGATCGTTACATTGGCTAAAAGCTCATAGCATTGGTTTTTAAGAAAAATGAACACGGGGTAGACCATTCTGAGCAGCTGTAAGCACAATTACACATTTGGTCATACAAATAGAATAATTTCATTTACATTAAGTTAAAATTGTTACAGTTCCCCAACATTTCATGAACATGGCAATTCATACATTTCTTGTCTTACATATTCATATATCAAATATAGGTATCTAAAGAGACGAGGCAGTCCAGTGCATCTGTATAGATAACAACCAAAATCTTTGTTGAATCTTTAAATATCTCTCATTTCTAATTGATGTGTAGACATTGTTTTAATTCAAATGCGCTTAAGGGAATGGATAACATCAATCAAACAACATGATATGGTAATTAGGATACATTTGAAAGTTGATTTGAAAGTGACCTCTGCGCGAGTGATGTTTCATGCATTGCTATACTATTGAGTATTGACTATTTGCTAGAGAAATTTCACTAATGTGACTGCAACTTAATAATAAGAAAGAGGTCACCAAAGGTCAGCAAGGTCAGAATATTTGGTACTCGGCATGAAGTCATGAGAGAATAAGGATGTGTTATGTCTCAGTTTGCCTTAAAATACTACCGAATTTCCATCAAAAACTCTATTTATGTGGTGAAGATTGGCCAGCAAGACCTCATTATGAACAACCAATAGACCCCATACTGTTAAATCTGTGATCCTTATGTAATAATGTTAATTGTAGATTAATGTTTATATGAAACATGTGTTGAAATGGTTATATGATTAGTTTGTGGATTCTGTGTACTTCTGAATGCACAATATCTCCATAACAAAATACTCCATTTGTTCTTGCTTAAATCATTATTTACTTTATGTTTGTGAGTCAAATGATTTGTACAAGTCAACGCCCAAATCTGACTTAGTTTAACCTGCTTTGAAACTGTGTTGTGGGTCCAAATTGTTGGTATTTTAAAGTAAATAATAAAAAAAAAATGTTAAAAGTTGACTGAACCTGGTCAGGCGTCTGCTATTTGTCTGGAGCAGTGCTATTGCATCACATAGTGAAGAATTCTTTCAGCTGCAGCTGCATGATGAACAAGGTGCTCGTTGGAATTGTAATTAAATTCACTTGAACTTGACACAGACAGATACTTAAGTTTCAGACAGGAGGAAGGCTAGTCTTATCTGTGCTTGTTGCATCATTCTCAATCACTTTGAGGCTCTCCATCTGCTCAACCAATTCATTGCCATGGATTGGTTTCAGTCTAATGACAGCTGAAATGACACAGATGTGGAAGTTTGCCCATTCCTTTCCCTTAAACTCATGACACGAGTTTGCTCAATGCATTAACTCTTCTTTCAGTATGGAAGAGTTGCTGCCACACACAAAAACAGAAACACTGGGAATCCAGCTGGTTTTGTTTAGTGACATGATTCATTTTTATTTCCTGACAGTCAAAACTGCCTCTAACTTGCAAGAAATAGACACAGAGGTGTAGTTACTTTATGCTTGACCATAAGAACATTTCATGGTCAAAGCAAACACATCCTAAAGAGACTTGGAATAGAAGTGGATATGCAGGTTTCATAGGAGACTTTACCATGTGTTCAGCCAATAAATCAGGCCGGCCACAAACAAATGAATAAATCACAGAAAAGCAGAAAACACAAATAAAGAACACATGTCAGAACATGCATGATGATGAGAATATAGAGAAATAAGCATCTTTTTATTTTTTTGTCTGCATGCTCCACAATTGTGTGCAGGAATTTTCATCTACAAAGAACGTGTATTTGAACTTGCGACATCAATTTGGAGTCCTATCAAGTTGCATGCAGTGACTCATAGTTATTTCTTTAGCATTCGTGGTGAAGCAGCCATACAAATATATTGAGTTCTAGATATATACAAGTTTAAATGCTAACTTTTAATGCAAACAAGCTATTCATGCACTAAAGCATGTACAAAACATTATCTTAAAATAGAAGTCAACTATCTGTTCACTATACTGCAGCATCAGGCAGAAAAGACCTAGTGCTCCCAAGTGAACCTCTATGAGTAGAAACACATGCATGCTTTACTGCCTCCCTGCTTTAGTCATTATGTTTCATAAGCACATTTAAACGCACTTTGTAAACACGGAACTGAGCTTCACAGCCGCAAGATTAAATAAAGAACCCACATCATTTGAAATCATCTACTGCAGGTGACTCAAATCACTGTGTTAATATTACTGTCAGCATCTGCAAAGTCAGAAATAAGGACACATGAGTGAATAAATTACTGGAGACGTCTGGGAGAGAGCGAGAGAGAAGGGGGAATGGAGAGAGAAGAATGGAAAGAAAATAATAGCAAGTATTTATTATTGTGTTGCATTGCTGTTATTCAGAAAAAAATCTATTTATTCAGTTAATGTTACTATTTATTAGATGACAATAACCATAAGCAAACATCTCACAATGGCTGAGTTTCTTCCATTCAAACATTGTCTAGTGGACAACATTTGCTGTTTGAAATACTAGTTTACTACATACATTCCTGTGAAGGCAAAGCTGAATTTTCAGCAGTCAATATTGCTTAAATATTGCTTCATATTTTTATGCAAACCATGATACATTTTTCAGGATTCATTTTCATAAATAGAAAGTTCAAAAGAACAGCATTTATTATTTCTCCCTGAGTCGTTAATGACACTTTTGATCATTATAACAAATTTTTGCTGAATAAAAGTATTATTATTATTATTATTTAAATCTTTCTGATGCCACACCTTTGAACAGCAGAGTAGGTTATCTGTGTATTCTATGCATGCATAAAACCTGCATATTGTGCACAATAGCCATTAAACAGAAAACTCCAAATGTGCATTAAGCACTTTTTCACATAGTGCTCTGATTATAATTCATTGCCATTTTTTAATTTTTCCTTATTCAATTTCCATGCCAGTACAATCTCTGAGAAATACACAAAATAATGATCTTTAAAAAAAGCATCATATGACCCCTTTAAAAGAACCAAAGACTTAAACTACTTCAGTCTGTGTGCATTGAATTTATTTAATACACGAGTTTCACAATTTGAGTTGAATTACTGAAATAAATGAACTTTTCCACTACATTCTAATTTATTGAGATGCACCTGTATTGTAGTTTTAGGGGTACAGCAGCTTGTCACTGGGGCAGTACCCTCAAAGGGACACCTTTGTACCTTCTTTACCCCTAAAGGGTTCACAATAATACCATAAGAGTACATAACATACCTTACTCAAAAGTACTAATATGCACTCTTAAGGGGTAAAGAAGGTACAAAGGTATCCCTTTGAGGATACTGCCCCAGTGATAAGCTGCTGTACCCCTAAAGATACAGTACAATATTTGTACAGCATTACAAATTTTTTTTTTCTGACAGTGTGAAAGAGAGTTTCTGTAACAGAACGGTATGCTCCATAATTTGTAATGGATTTGGCATGAGGCAAAGAAGGCTGTGTATTGTAAAAATGAATAATAGTTTGCAGTTTTTTTTTAATTCTGAGGGTGCAGAAAGAAACTTTAATTTATTTGTTATACAGCCTTGATGAACTATTGAATATACAGTAGCAGATACAGTATTATATACATATATTCCGTAAGACAAAATTACTAAATGTACATAAATTATCCTGTTGAAGTATATACCCTTGGTTAATATCATGCGTTGCCTTCTTGTGCATCCATGACTATTTATAAATAGCCTTTTGTGAATTGTGTCTGGTTTGTCTTCAGCAGTAAAGCTGATTCTTGACAAAAAGCCTCCAGGTACTGTGATTTCTTCAGTTTCCTTGCTCTGCACATTTAACATCTTCCCAGTTGTATGTATACTGTACATCACGAAAGGTTGCAAACAGTCACTGATGGTCAAAAATGCAATATTTTGTTTTAAATATCATGTATG